CAGTTTCTCACATTCATCTTCATCTATCAAACTCCATTATTCAGGAAGTTTTGCAGGAGAGGTCATCAACTGCTTTGTGGTTGAAGTTGGAGCAATTATGCATGACCAAAAGTCTTACAAGCAAATTGCATCTCAAATAGCGGTTATACTCTCATCGCATGGCAGAAGAAGGATCATTAGAAGATCACCCGGCTGTATTTAAGAAGAGCGTCGCTGATTTAGAAATATTGGAAGTTAAGGCTCCGGGAGGGAGCCAGTCTTTCTTCAAATAATACATACTTACTTTCACATCAAGTTGTGTCCAGGCTGGAAAGAGACACAAAAAATGTGTGATTTGACACAAAGAATACATTTTTTTTGTAGAAAAATGGTTACCAAACGGAGGCTAAATAACTTTATCCCACAAAGACTTGCCATAAATATACTTTATATGCAGATAACATCAAAATCTATGAGATTAAAGCTCACTACTGATATGAATTACATGATAACACCAAGTTTTTTATAAAATCAACACAAAACGATGTGAACTTGCTCCTGCACCGAGTTTTTAAAATCCCACTGGGATGGTAGCAAATTTTATTTTCCTATTTTATTCTTTTATAGTATAGAATTGTAAAGATCTAAACAATAACTTCATGACAGTTACTAAAATGTGCATTAAACTAGAAATTGGCTTTTCAATATTTAGAGAGTTTTAGTATGATATAATTCCATTTAACTTATTGTTTGTAGGAACTTCCAATGGCCTTTAGTTTACAATTGAAAGGAGCTCTAGCAGAGAGGGCATTCCTTCGAGATTGCTACAAAAATTGTGGCCTGTGAAAATGGCCAAAATTGATAATGACAGGTTTTTTTTTTTGTGATGGCTGGGAAAAATTTGTTCAACTTACCTCTTTGGAATTTGAGGACATCTTTGTGTTTCGATTCAATGGAGACAATTTATTTGATGTAAAACTGTTGGGGTTGTCAGGTTCCGATAAGGAGGGTCTTGGACATTTAAATATGTGTGGAGGATAAGAATGAAGAAAATGCGGAACCAAAAGCGGAACAAGTGGCTGATGGTAAGTTCGATATTTATTTCTGCCCATTTTTCCCAAATAATTTTATTAATTCATTATTTTGTCAAATTTGACCAATGGTACAAACTGATGAAGATGGAGCTAGAAAAGACGATGACGCTGAACGCAACGAAGACCTATATTACACTGAGCCAGAGAACGACAGTGAAGAGGATATTCATGACAGTGATGACAATGCCCAAGTTTACATGGAGATCGAGGAAGACAAAAATGAGGATGCTGAAGATGAGAATGGCGAAGACGATGAAGGACGAGCGGAGCAAGTGGCTAATGGTAAGTACTGCATATATTTACTCCCGTTTTCCCAATTGATTTGATGTATAACTTTCAGTTTGTATAATTTCTTACCGATGGTATTGTTTGGTTAAGTTCGACCAGGTAAACGTCCTCTCGATCCTTACGGTAATGACATTTTCAATTCAGGCTTGGCTATCCGGCCAAGAAATCCTTACGTTGTCACTAAAATCAGGAAATTGCGGCCAAATGATTTGGTAAGACTTGCATTCATGATTCTAAATGACTTCAGCTTAGAAATTATAGATAATTTTTTGGTTTTTTGAGTCAATAATGGATAATTTGTGGCAGTATATTCCTAAGGAGACAATCGTGGACTTTCAGCTTGACAATCTACCTGAAGAGATGTCCCTCATTGATCCACAAGACAGACAATTTCAGGTGAAACTTATAAGATGGAAGGATGACCGTGTGTGGTACAGAGGAGGCTGGAAAAGTCTCTGTGCCGTGAACTTTGTAAGCGCAGAGGACACGTGCATCTGCGAATTTGTCGGTGGCAGGTTACGAGTTGAAGTTGTCAGAAGAAATAACTGAACGACGTCTTAATATGGATTTACATTTTTTGGATTTATATAAATTGTAATTCTATTGTTTGTTTTGTTCTGTGAACATGCTCAATTTGTAAGCACTTCTACATTTCATCGGTCTGTGAACTCTTGGTGCTCTAGTTTCTTTCCTTTTCTGTATGCCAGTGTTTCATGCACCCTGCTGAACAGCTTTTCTTGGAAGATAAAAACAGAACTTTTATCCCCAAAAAATTTTTAGTTCAAACTTCAATTATTTTAGGTCTGTATTTTTACCTTTTGACAGTAAAAATGCCCATATTCCATTCAGTGCACACCCATGTGCACCCTGATTCAGTGAAAGGCACCATCCTTTTTAATGTTAGATTCCTTTCCAGGGAACTTTTCTTTTCTTTTTCTTTGTATGCTTCACCTCAATTTTCTCCTCAGAAAATTACAATAAGGTGGATTATGAGTACATTATTTTTTAAGTATGCTACAAAAATTGTCTCATTAAAAACTTTGTCAGAAAACCCAATTAGACAGAACTTTGATCAAGAGAAAGAGTCAACCTCATAATAATATTATTTGAATTATACTCGAGGCATATTTAATCCTACAAGAATAATATTAATAGTCATGCCACATAAGTTGACTATATAACGTATTTCTAATTTCATGCATCGTTAAGATAATTTGATATGAACTCATGGTTTCATCCACCACATCTTAGCGTAATTCACTATGTTGAAAGTCGTGCATTAAATATTACGACTTTATATTTCTCATTTCATTTTCGTATTAGTACACCCTTTAGATTTTCGGAGCACAGGTTGAGAAACTTCAGATTTCTCTAGTAAATTCAATTTAGGATTGTATCCCTTTATTTGGCCAATTATTATTTTTTCGATATATTTCGACGCATTTATTTCGATTTCTCACTATATGATTGAGTACATCAAGTACAGAAGTATTATTGACAACTTCTTATTTTTTCAATTATATTTTTTTCTCATAATGACGTAGCTTATAGAGATATCTCAATTTTCAAGATATCCATACCTAACCCTCTTCTTGAATTTTTATAATTTGTTAAGTCTAAATGAGTTCAGGGTCAATATATATTTCATTTAAAATATAAATTATGTAAAGATTTACTCTTATAATATTACGCTCTTCGGGAATAAGTAATATTTTAACATAATATTAACATTTAAAGAGTTGTGCTTCTTGAGAAGCAACAAAATAATACAAATACAAAATTCATTTTCAAGCAATAGGCAATATTCTTCTAAAATATTGATTTAGATTTTTCCATTCAAGAACTGAAATATTGAACAAAAAATTTACTTTCAAGCAAATATTTATCTATCATAAATCGATACAGTCAAATATGAACATTTTCAAGCAATCAGTGATTGAATATGTTTCCTTCATGGATATGGATATCAACAATGCCAGTTCTTCTAGCCAAAGAGATAAGTTTAAGCTTTTAAGTGCAAAAATGGCTCAAGCAGTTGAGCTTCCTTTGCTTAAAATTTCATCCGATTTTAGGCTGACATTGAAGATTATCCACTCGGAGATAAGTTCTTTGCTAGCCAGAAATGTAGAGTTAAAGGCCAAGAAGACTCGGTATCTTCGTGCTATAAATGAAAAAGAATCTTTGCTTCAAGAGATTGAGAAGATCAAGAGCAATCTACACGAAATCTCCTTTGAGATTATGGTTGAAGATTCTTTGATGATGAGCCTAGCTTTAGAGGTGAAGGAACATCAAGCAAGGATGGATGACTATAAGGCTAGGTTAGCCACCAAGAAGTGTACTGTTTCCCAAGAAGTTGAGCTAGGTAAATCTTTGTTTGAGCGTTACTCAAAACTGAAAGTTGACAAGAAACTTATGACCGAACTATCCACCGCTTCCCTTGAACATTATGATGAATGTGAGAAACTTAGAAAATAGATGCATTCTATTTGGGACAAGGTGTAATTAAGACATTAATATTCTGACATTTCTTGTAGGACAATTTCGTCTTATACTTTTGTTCTTTTAATTTTATGATGGCAGCCAGCGTCGACTGAAATGTAATGGCGGCCAATTTCATCAATGGAATGATCATTTTATTTACTCATGTGATGGCTTTTGCATGGATTCTGAAACAACATGATTGACGTTTTCTTTAATCATCAATACTCCTCAAAAATTTAATTATTGACTTTATTCATGCACATTTCCCCTTGTGGAATCTTTACATGGAATGAAACTTTTGGTATTCCAACTCAAGATTTGGACCTTCAATTTCGATTACTATGCATGTATGTGGCCATTCGCATTCCGTCCCTTCGCCTTCAAACCTTTATAAAGTTGCATATTTGTTACACATTTTTCATCTTCATCCTCATTTTCCACAAAACCAATCTGTTGTCATCATCTGGCATTCAAATGATCGACTTTCTATATCTAAAAGATCAATTATTTTCCTTTTCAACAGAAATAAATCATTTAATCTTTTCCCAATTCCACCATATGTCTTGATATTTTCTTTGGTATGGAAGATATAGGAAATATTCTTTGGTCAATGAAGGTCTTCTCAGCACCATTTTCTTGATGTGAAACAACTGCTTGCTGAGAGTGCTTCTTTGACCATTTGCCTACCATTCCAGCAACGCATTTAGGAAGGCGACGAAGGCCAATTTATCTTTTTTCTGTAGTAGTTGATAGAAGAACAGTGATAGCCTACTTTCAACTGTGGCTTATAGAACATTTGTATTTTGCACCTCTTGGTTTGTAAAGAATATTTGATAATGAAAGATTTTATTTGAACGTACATCGCTCTTATTTTAAATGAACATAATCGTCTAACTCACTTTATTTGTTTACTTATGCATTGAATTTTCTCTATTTGTTCACTTTCCCATATGGAATGCACATATTTNTCACTTTCCCATATGGAAGGAACATATTTCTTTAAATATTTACTATTAATAAACATCATATGTTTCGTGTCATCTAAATCTTCCAAATGGTAAGCTCAATTACGCAATACGCTTTTATATCGTCCTTCTCAATTGGGTGACCATTTACCATACTTTGGATCTTTGTTATCCAAAGGAAGTATCATCTTTCAAACCAAATCGCCCAAGCTAAAAGACTTGGCTATAATGTTTTTGTTATAGAACTTAGCCATTTTTCATTTTTGAACCTGCAATCTATCTAGGACTCCAACTTTAACTCATCCAATTCCAATAAATTTTAGGCTACTGATTCTGGATACTTGCCGTCACTTAAATTACTTTGCAGGCCTACTCTAATCAACTGCACATTGATTTCCATGGGCAACACAGCTGATGAGTGTGTTTTACACATTTGTACCATCGAAGTCTCATTTGCATGCTTAATATGTTCTTCATTATTTTTCGTCTCCTCCAAGCCAAGGGATTTGAAGGTACTCCTTTCTTTACTTTGTTTATTTTCATTTTCTTGTTCTTTTGCTTCAACTTTGGAGGGATGGGTCTTGCTTCTTTTTGAAGAAGTAGGCTTATTTGTGCACTTGTGATGCTTAATGTTTGAGTTGGTCTATTCTCCTTGCTAATTTGGGAACGAAATTGTTTGCCCACAACGTGTTTGATGAATTACCTATGTCACCACTCATGTTACCCATGTATTTGCATTGTTATCTCTATAGGTGGGGTTGTGTTTGGTGATAAAATTTGGAGATTTTATCTTGTTCACCACCTACGTGTCTTTGTTCCCATTCGCACATTTTCTCTTTTGGAACCATTCTTGTCGGTGGCCTCTTGACATTTTGGTACTTATTTTGCAGTTTATCTTGATGAGGTCTCGGGTCTTGATCTATCGTTCATATGCTAAGCATTCTCCTCTTTATGTTTCTCCCAGATACAATGCCACCTCGAAAACGTTCAAAACCCGCATCATCCTCATCCTCCAATTCCTTTGATAGGAGCAAATTCGTTAGTGTGGTGGCTTCGGAGCGTTACAAAAAAATGGTTGTCCATAAAAGTTACATCCCGAAATTAGGGTTTGAAAATTACATGCGAGCTTAGATTGAGCAACGGCATTGGGAAACTTTTACCATTCAACCCCGCCTCGCATTAATCCCTATTTTGTGCAAATTTTATGCTAATGCTATGGAGCACCATGATTTTTGTGTCTATGTGAGAGGAAAATGGATTCCGTTTGATCGTACTTCTATAAATCATTATTATCAATTACCTGACAATGGGGAGGAAGAGTACTCTCAACTGCAGACTGAGGGTGTAGACCCGAACAAGGTCATTCACGTTTTGGCAAAACCTGAGACTTCATGGAAGACATCAGGGGAGGATGTGATAAATTTCCCCGCTTTGGGGATGTTTACCAAATGCAAGGCATGGTACCACTTCATGTCTACTAAACTGTTACCCAGTGGGAATTTGAGCGAGGTCACAAAGGAACGGGCGACTTTATGAAATTCAACGGGGGCTATCTATTGATGTGGACCGGGTCATCCACAACAACATTTTTCACACTTTACGGGGCTCTACTATTGGTGGCTTAGGGCATCCTTTTATGATTTACGAGTTGTACTTGAGAGGTGGAGTTGTCACCGACCCATCTGAAGAAGTCATTCACCCGAAGCCGGTAATCACGCAGGATCGAACTTGGAAATTCATGAGTCGACTCGGGTCCACCAGTGCACCACCTCCTGATTCTGTCAGGCAGCCATCGCTATCCCATCGCACATGGCAGACTAGTGACTCCACTTCAGACCTTACCGCTCAGTTGAACTCAATGCAGCTGCAGTTGAATGCGATGCACAATTCTATGTTAGCACGGTTTGAGTATCAGAATGCGTTTAATGCCGTTCTCGCTTCCACTCGTCCTGACCACACCTTTCCTAAACCACCTGATCATGCTACATGGGCAACCACTCCTCGGGATGATGCCGACGATGCCAAGGACACTTAGTGTCTCTTCAAGTAAGTTTTATTCCTGTACTTCATTTTCAACATTAGGGGCAATGTTTATCTTAGTTT